GACCTCTTGTATTGTATTTATCATCCAATATTAATAACATATTTTCTCCCGTGCCTTCTCACAACTCTAAATTCTAAAAGAATTGATTCACCCTCCCATCTGAAGCACGTCTTTACTTTATTTCCTTAGCTCCTTTCCTTTCTCGCCCCTTGATTTTGTTGTGTTAAAATAAATCTATTTAACTGCAGCTTATGTTTACAAAATAACCTGACCATGCTCATGGCAGGCAGTTCAAGAAACTTTCCGCAGTTGAGCTTTCTGATATTGGCTGTTGTGTTGCCCTGGCCAGTGGGGCGATTTTGTTGCAACAAACAGGTGCAGTAGGATTCTTTTATCCTCAACCCCCGTCTTAAAATTTTGCTATATACTAATTACCCCAACCACACATCTGAGCTTAGACTTCTCAATTCTTGGTTTCTTGTTTGTTTAGTCTTACTCCTATTTGCAATTCGCTGTGGCAGATATTAGCCTAATCTATCACATGATTCGTGGTCAAGGGACAATCAAGCTTTATGTGGTTTACAATGTGTTGGAGGTGAGAAGTTGACTACTTTATTATAATTAAGGGCATGTGTTAAGATGCCACAAATTGGTTGTACTTTAGGTCTTCGTATCATGTTGAAGGTGGCTGGATTCTGATACAACATAACTAATTCCATAGAATGTAATTCATGTTTGTGCTTCAAAGTAAAATAAATGAAATATGTCTCCATTCTTGCTGTTAAAGAATAGAATAACTTCGAAGGAGAAGCACCTCTAGTCATATGTTCGGATATGTTTCAGCTATCCTTCATCAAGTATCCTTTCATTCCAATCTTGTACAAGATATTGGTTTATTACACGTTCATGTTGCTGTCCTAACATCATTCAATATGCAATATTTTTTGGTTAGCTCCTTTTTTTGCAATTTATAGAAACTTTAAGGCTATTGTTGCCCTTCTCGGCAGGTTTTTGATAGACTATTCCAAAGCTTTAGTGGAGATGTGATGCAGACTCTTTTTAATACAGCAGAAGGGCTTGCAAATAGCTCAACGGAAAATATGCAATTGTGGATGAGAAGATTTATTATGGATGAATTTGTAGCTGTGGCTTCATCAAATATCCTTTCCATTCCCGTATTCTGGTCAATATGATAAATTTCATCCCTAATATTGTCTGGTTTCCTTGACTCCCCATACTTGTTCATTCTTTCATCTTGCTAGCTCAAGCCATCACTTTGTCAACCTGTATAGTTGCCCACAACAACGCATTATTTGCTTTGCTTGTATCAAACAATTTTGCAGAAATAAAGAGCAATGTATTCAAACGGTACAGCAAGGATAACGTTCACAATCTAGTGTATTATGGTGAGTTATCTTCTAGCAGTATTTACCTGAAATTTTGAAGGTTCTATTGCCATGATTAAAGAATTCTTTATGAATCTGCTGTTGGTAGCTAGTTTTTTCTTTATTATCTTGTGTGAAGTGATTCCATCTGTTGCATGTTTTCATTGGCATATTTGTAGTCCCTATAGGTTGCATCTCAATGCCAATCAGTCAGTCAATCAATTAATTTACCTTTTCATAAAAATATCACCCAGTCAATTTAGTCTCAATTTCAGATGAAGTTACAAATTTCAGCATCTATTCTAACATAATGACATTATCAATATAATAACTAAAATTAAACATCACTAAAATGTAATTACAAGATAAGTTCAATTACAAATTTGATGTTCAGTTTCATTTATAAAAAAGGAAGAAAAGATAACTCAATTTTCTATTAATCAACTATGAAATAGAAATTTTCTGTAGATTAAATTTAATCTTTAAGTGCTTTAGTAATTTTATTAAGAGAGTAGAAGAGAAGCAAAAGCAAAAGCTCAAAAAGCAGGAGTGGCAAAAGAAGGTGATTTGCATATTAGAAGATTCATGGTCTGTAGAATAGAAAGAAGACGTCTTCATAAAAAAAGAATAGAAAGAATAGGTATGTCAAAAGATGCAGAGGAAGAGAAGTAGAGCTAGTAAAAGGAGGCATTACATTGCAGAAAAAAAAGTACCACAAAAAAAGAGGCGCTACGAACTGAAGAATAAAAGCGAATCTTTTGCTTACATTCTTACGTTTTTACCCATATTTGCATTAATTTCGAGAGATTGTAGTTTTTTGAGACTTCCTCTCTATGATTTTAGGTATACCTTGTCTTTTTCTAGCACATTCAACTGCCATATTGACATTTACTGGATTCTACATTTAGTGGTCTACGTAGGATATAACCTTAACATTTTCTCTCATTTTTCTTTTATATGTGCTATTTGAACATCTGTTGGCTGTCATTATTTCTAATCTTGTCTAATCTTATATGACTGGGTATCAATCTTAACATCCGCATTTCTGGGATTCTCATGGTTATATTTAGTCTTAGAGACCTTACTTTTACTCCCCTTTCATTAATTGTTAGTTTTCAGTTTATGCATAACTAATCGCACATCTTTTCCGACCTTCTCTCTCTCTAACTTGTGCAACATAAAAAAGGATTTCCTCTTCCCTTGACATAGTGCTCTTGGCACCTCAGGAGAAGGAGGCTCAGGGCCAATTTTTGGATTGTCTGTCTGATGGATTTGGATTTTATTGATGGGTGTGGTTTTTCTTTTTCATCTGTTCCTCCTGTTTTTACTAGTTTCCACGTTCACCCATCCATATATTAGTTGCTGACTAGTGACTCTTTATTTGTTGTTTTACTTATCATTTCATTTAAGCTTAATGGTGTTTGGAAATGCTCAATCCTATGGTACTGATTTTATTTTCACATTTGTGCTTGATTGCAAAGTTTCTGTGCATTTAAACTTTAATTCCATTGGCTGTTGGCAGATTCAGTGGAGCGGTTCCATATTTCGGCATTTCTCTTATTTGTGTTAGCTCAAAACCTTCTGGAGGCAGATGGACCTTGGTTTGAAAGTTTTCTTTGTGTAAGGCCTGCTGCTGATGCTCCTTGTGCAATGAAGTGATCAACTTACTGAATTGTTTTTGAACTGGCTCATATAAAGAAATTTTCCTTTTGAATCCTGCAGAATGCATTTGTCGTCTACGTAAGTGAGATGACAATTGATATAATCAAGCATTCATTCATCGCAAAATTTAACAATATTAAGCCGATTGCCTTTTCAGAGTTTCTTGAAGATCTCTGTAAGCAGGTATTTTTAATTCATGGGCTGCTGTTTGACTTTGCTTGTAGAGTTAAGCTCTTTAAGCTGGTGGATTTCTCTGATAAGCTCGAATAATTTGTAGTTTTATACTGCTATATTGCTATCACACTCTTCATCCTACTAAGCCGTTGTGGCATCTTGTACTTTTTTCTTTCTGAAGATTCTGTTTCTCACATTACTCTAATTGTCGACTTTTAACAGACACTGAATATTCAAACGGACAATATGAAGAATAACCTCACTTTTGTTCCTTTGGCACCTGCTTGTGTGGTAAGTTTTTTCTGATTTGTCTAAAGCCGCCATCTTCTAACATAATAATTTCTGAATAAAATCATAGTCTCTTTATTTCAAAATACTATACTTCGTGGATATGGAACATAGAGGAAGCAGGATCGATTCCCTTGGACTTGTGGGTTTCCTTCCTTTATACAGAGCTTAAAATGCTCATTTATTCCTTACCTAGCAACCTCTTTTGCATGTCAGGTAATCCGGGTGCTGCGTCCTGTGTTTGCTGCTCATCTTCCCTATAATCCGCTTCCTTGGAGGCTCTTTTGGATTTTTCTTCTGTCTGCAATGACATTTGTCATGCTTGCAAGCCTTAAAGTAATGATTAGCATTGGCCTAAAAAAGCATGCGAGGTGGTATATAAACAGATGCCAGAGGAGAAAACTTCATAGCGACTAAGATACTATATCTTGGTGAAGCTGCATACTTTGCTAAGATATACAGAACTCCTGTTTATGAGAAGAGAAAAGAGGGATGGCCAGAGGGCGGGGTTTTTTGG